GCTCCTGGCCTTACTTCTAGTGACAAGAAGCTACTAGGGGCTCCTGGCCTTACTACTAGTAACAAGAAGCTATTAGAAACATGAATTTAATTAGTCTTGAAACAAGAAGCTACTAGGACGGGTCTTTTCATGCCAAGGGCGGTGCGCGCAAGACAGTTCGACAGTGGACTATGAGGCGCACGCGCCACTTGGGAAGCCTTCAAGATCTGTACCCTAGTAGCGTCCTTTGCTCCTACAAGGTACAGATGCTTAGTCCGAGGCATCGGATCATTGCTCCCAGGATTCTCTCTAACTGAGCGCGAAAATCGTGAACCTTCAAGACCTCGACGCAGGCTTGTTGTGGTAACTGCCATGCCTAGAACTCCAGGTAGCCATTCAGCAAATTGGCAACGCCGCGCCACAAGATTGCCGTCGCAATTGCAGGAGGACTTTGACGCCGAGTTGCAAGGGCAGCCTCTGAACCAAAACTACAGGTCGAGCCGCCTGCAGGGTGAGTCAGTATTCAACCCGAATACTGGGTCAAGAATATATGTATATAATATATATATACATATCTTTTTCTGAGCTTGAAGAGCAAGCTGATGTCTACGAAGCCCGGAAAGTAGATACGAAGCCGAGCCTGTGATTTAGCTGGACGAGTCGATCTATCACCATGTCCCGGACGGGGTGATGTGAAAGGATCTCCCAAGAGTGGTAGAGTGCTACCAACTTGGGCAACAACGCCAGTCTGTTCCAAACGCGCCAGGAGCGTGGGCAGCAAACCTGGTCTGATCATCCTCCTTACCTAACTGTTGATAAAATCAGGAATCTGTTCCATTATAAAAAGATTTTTCCAGACCTCATGTCATAAACCACCGCAATGTTGAAAAAAGAACATCCACAAGATGACCAGTAGCCTGATGCTGGTATGTTATTACACAAAGCATGGTTTTGGCCAGTTCCGTTTTTGATGGGCCAGCATAGAGAGACCCGGAGGCTGGTTTGGCAATTCATAGAAATCTTCATTTTCAGATATGAACCAATGGTGATGCTGGCTGTTCATTATAGATTGAAAAGAGGATGATGGTGAGATGTCAGTTTATAAAGGAACCGGTGTGAGGTTCAAGTTTTCCGTCCGATCATCGGAAATTGAATATGTGTTGTTATATGCATATGGGTTACCCTGCCAAGGCCCATCGTATTTGTGCGCACTCTTCCACAAAACCAATTTTACGAACACCTTACCCTGCCCATCGTATTTGTGGACGCCCCTCCCTGCCAAAGTCCACAATGGTGTTTGCGCACACCCTTCCACAAAACCCATTTCATCAACCCCTCACCCTGCCAAAGTCCATCGTATTCTTGCGCACCGCTCCCAAGAGAAACGCACTCAGAACCATAAAGGAAAAGTACATAGTCAATAAACATATTGCTATAGAAGCCAGTGCACATGTTTGAGACAAGAGTAAAAAACAATAACATCACCCAAAATGTCAGCAAAACGAAACACAGCGCAATCCAAAAACACTTGCCAGCAGAAAACAACGCGCGCCCTACACAAATGTGACACATGGTACATGCCATCGCTTTGCAAATCTGGAAAAAGTCAAACTGTTTAGCGTCAAATTGTTAATTTGTTTTTGTGGTGGTGGGGAATCGCCGAGTCTCAGTGCCCTGGGAGACAGGAAGTCGAGGGTCTGAACAGCGAGAATGAACTGCTGCCAGCGTTTTTGACTTTTCGTCAGGAACTGGAATGGCCGTCCATAGTGTGTATTCCATACCAAATCTTTGTAAATAAGGAGGGTGACGAAGTAGGGGTGTAAGTGATTAACGGGGATGGACGCTCTGCTGCTGAGCCTTCAGGCAAGCGGGGTCCTGCTGTGTTTTGGGAGACACTCCTGGGTATCTCGCTGTGACAGGTTCTTGATTGTGATAACGAAGTTCGCTGCGTCTCCTTTGTTTTCCAGAGGCTATGTAGCCCGGCCAGGTAGTTGACCTGAGAGGCTCTTGCGCAGCCTCTCTCAGGATGCCTCAAACTTGAAGTTTGTTCCCTCAACCATGAGCAAAGTGAAGGCGCAGAGCTGGCGCAAAAGGCTTGAAGGGCGGCAGGCTGGCCCCAAACAGGCCCCAGCAAGCAACGGGCCGACGCCCAGCGGCAGAAAGAACCGAGAAAGCTACCTAAGCCGGTCTTCTCAATTGCGTGGAAAGCGTGGAACACGAAACCATCCATGTTATGCGCGCATCACATATCGTATTTCATATTTCTGCGCGCGCATTGTGTAAGAATGACTAGACTAGGGGTGTGTGTGTGTGTGTGTGTGCGTGTGTGTGTGACGTTAGACGCTTTTCAAGATGTTTGATGTATCAAGTCTGATCCGGCAAAAGAAGTTGGCTTGTTTTTTGCTGAAAAACTTTGCTTCAAACCCTGTCTGAGGCTGCCCTCCTGGTACACCAGTTCCGGAAGGAGAGCCGAACTCACATTTTCTCGTTCTTGATTGCCATGACCGATGACCAACATGTGGACATGTGCTGCGCTGATCGTCAATGTGCGCAGCGCGCAGTATACGTCGGAAACGCGTGGTTTTGATCGGTGGCTGCGTCGAAGACAAGAAGACGAAAGAAATCAACCAGGAAGACAAAGACTAGCTTCTTGTTACTACTAGCTTTCTTGTTACTACTAGTAAGGCACTTGTTACTACTAGCATGGCACTTGTTTCTAATAGCTAACCAGGAAGACATTTACAGGTCAACTTTCACGGTTGCAAGTTTGCGTCTTGGTCGGATTGACATTGGCCACGTGGAGCAGGTTGCGCATGTTGGAACTCACTCCGTATGACTCCGTGTTTGTGTAACATTCTGCAAGCTTGGCCTCTGCAGGCTACGTACTGAACTCAAATGGCGAATGGTACTTGGCACAGAAGAGATGGTTGTTCCCAAAATGGATAACAGTTAACATCATAGCCCTCAACCGGATTGCCCATTGTCCACAGCTGGTCGGCGGTTTCATTTCGCTTAGGCGTTGTGCAGAGACCCATTATGGGACGCCGCAAGCTCTTTGCGCAATCAACGAGCAGTGCGTCTCTGAATGGAGGTGTGGCGCTGAAGTATGTGCGCTTTGTTACTTTCAATTGTTTTTCGGACAACATGCGCCACGATATATGGTTGTTTCTCTGTTTCTTTTCATTTACGTATATCTTTCTTTTTTCTTTTCATGTTTCTTCAGACCTTAGACACTTTTTAAATATTTCTTTGTTTTTGTTCCCGAGAGTGAGCGAAGGGTTCTTCTCTCTCTCTCTCTCTCTCTCTCTCCCCCTCTCTTCTCCCTTCTCTTTTCGTAGGTGTCTTCTTTCTCTCTTTGGGCTGGGGGCAGTGGCGACAAAAATGTCGAAATGCAACCATCTGCGGAGATCGTGCGTGTCAAGTGTCAAAAACTGAGGAATATTGTGATTTACAAAGTTCTGGCGCAACCCTTTGCGGAGATCGCGCGCGTCAAGCTTCAAAAACTGAGAGAGTACTGCGACTTGAAAGGTTTTGGTGCAACCCTTTGCCGGAGATCGTGCGTGTCAAGTGTCAAAAGTTGAGTTCAAGGTGTCCACGGTGAGTTTAACCCTCTGCGGACATCGTGCGTGTCGAGTGCTCAAACGTGGCCGGGGTGAAATGCAAGTTTCGTTGTCGAAGTGCGTAACTGTCATCAAAATCGAAGGCGGCGGTCGCCAAGCTGTGCAACCGTCGTGGAAGACGGAGGTAAGTGTATGCTTGTCCTTGAAAACGGAGGTGGACGTTGCCAAAGTGTGTAGCTGTCGCCCGAAACCGAGGTGCATGTTGCCAAAGTGTGTAATTGTCGTCGAAAATTGCGTAGTTGTAATTGTACCGAGGTGGAAGTTGCGTAGGTGTGCAACTGTCGTAGGGCCACATTGTGGTATTGGCCCTTTGCAACCTGAGCTGAATAGCAGGGTGAAGCTGTGGCTTCTGGTTTTTCAGTTCTTGTGTTTTGTAGCTTGGGGTACTTGCTACCCGTGAGGTTTCTTTTCATTTTCTTTTCTTCTCACCCTTGTTGTTTGTGGCACACCCTGTTGCCAAATTACGTCCGTGATGTCGCTGTGCCATGCTGTTTTGCGCGGCCTTGAAAGTGCGTTTGTGGGAGTCCATGCGACTGGGGGAAGGAAAAGCACGCTGGTGTAAATTCGGCGTGTCGTTGTGGATCGCGAAGATTGGTGGTGTCCACGAGGCTTGGCATTACATTGTTATGTCTAGTCTGTGACACACTGTGTTGCAAATTACGTCTATGATGTTGCTGTGCCTTGCGGCTTTGGAAGCGAAGAGAAAAAGGATGGCTCTACGCAGTGAATTCAAAATAATTCGGAAACTCTGCTTTGCAGCACGCGCGACGTACGCCTGCACAACCATCCACTTTAAGCCCTCTTGAACCTTTGTATATCTGTATATATTGTCATACGTTTTCGTGGCAGGACCTGAATCCATACACTTTATTCTAAATGTGGACATAAGTACCGACTGTAAGACTTGATCGAGACAACGCCTGATTCCGTAAACTTATGTGAACCCTTGACATAAACCAACATAAACATCCACTGGAAAACTCTTCGAGACGCGAAGGCGCCACCTACTTGTGAAATTGCACCTCTACTTCTATTTAACGCTCTCGGGCCATCCGTCATCTAGTATTCTTTTTGATTTGCTATTTATTTTTGATCTTCCTCATGAATTCTTATAAAATTCTCCCAAAAGACCGCTCCAGGCCAAGCGGTTGCCTGCCGATGCATCCTTGCGTCAAAGCCTCGCGGAAGCGACAGTGAGAACAGATGGAGAGCAAACGTTTTAACAGTAACAAAGAAGAGAAATCCAGAGTCTTAAGAGTCTTGATATAAAGAACAACTAGTCACAGAAATGGGCCGTCAGAGTTGGGATCCAGTTCCAGCAGCGTGACGTAGTTTCACGAGGTGGCCCCAGATGATGACCTTTGCAGGCGATGGATCATCATTTCTTTCCCCAGTCTTACTTCAAATAACAATGAGTTGCCCGTGCGCGGCCATGGGCGCCGCCTGTGTCGCTTTGCCTCGCTCAACTCGCTCGCCTTTGAAAGGGAAACGGTTGCTGTTTCGTTCCGTGGAGTCGCAGTTGCACCGCCTCACCCGTGGTTTAGTTGCGCTGGCCTCTTGAAGGCGTAGGGCCTCAGGACCTTAGGAAGTGTCACTGGCTTCAGCCAAAATCGACATCAGTTCGGTTTGAGCAACCTCTTTTCTTCGTGTTCTCTCCTCTTTTGGGTTTTGCGCCTCCAGCTCGATGGCACTGGGTTCTTGTACTTTGTTGCTTCAATTCGAGGGTCCTGACGGACTCTTGTTTGTCAACGAAGCCGAAACAAAGCACCAATCATCAGCATGTCGTTCGTGTTTTTACAACAAAGAAGTGCTGAAGTACTGAAGGTACTTGTACCTTTTGCCTTTGCAGGTACAACATGTCGGATTGCTTGGAGGTTGGAGACTGGAAGAAGTTGACGAAGTTTACTCGAAGACCTTCATTTTCTTTTTGCTTCCTGTTCTGTTTTGAAAAAGACAGGTGCCTCCGGGTGGTAGCTGCGTGATACGATGCCGTGAGCCCTTCGTGGGTGGTGCCTCCTTGGCGACTTGCCAGGCCAACAACATTGATCCCAACCAGGACAGGTAACGAAAACAAGAAAAGCTAAGAAAAACAGTAAATAACATTTTTGTAAAAGGAGGTAGTAGCTAAGAAGTAAGCTAAACAAGTAAGAGGGGTCATAGAAGCAAGTAGTGTTTAAGCAAGCCGCAACTAGGTGCCAGGACGCGCTCTCTGCTCAGGCTTCTTCAAGGAAGCCCTCGCGTGATCGATTTGGTTCCTAGATACTTGTTGAAGCTAACACTTCAACAAGATGTTTTTAAACGCAAGATATTTGAGCCTTTTAGGGAGAGAGAGATACAGAGCCAATGTGCCAAGCGAGAGGAGTTGACCTGGAGCCCACCGCGGCCTTCGTGCGCCTTGTTACTGTGCGACTTGGTGCTATAAGAGGGACCGAATGCGATGCGAGTGCTGACTATTTCAGACTTTTGGGTGAACTACCTTTGACCAGCTTTCTTGTAAACCTACCTGCTACTCTCCAAGGACCTCAACACTTCACGGAAGCACACTGCAGGGATAAGGTTGATGTTGCAAATAAGCTAACGAAGGAAGCCTAAAACAGAGTCCTGCATGCTCGGATTACCTTGTTTTAGTGTCCATTTTTAAGAGCTTGTCAAGAAGACCTTGGGGAGGTGTGTGTGTGTGTGCCACAGGGATTCCTTCGAATGTTTCTACAGTAACCAGGGGCGTATGGCTCGTCATACCCACCAGACGCAATGAAGCTACGGTATGACGAGGGAAAGGGTGGACTGATCATCCACCTGTACCTGCTCTATTCTATTGGGTGATTCTTATGTCTCGCCTTTTCCTTTTCTACATTAGTGGCGATTCGTCAGCCTCGCTCTCTAGTTAAACAGGAGGCTTCTTTGTCCTTTTGAGTCTGCCCTAGCTCAGCAACAGGAGACTTTATTCCCGAAAGCGCCTGCGAAGGGTTTCTTCCAAAGGACACCATCTTCCAACATAATCTTTATCATCATCGCTACTATCACATCGTCATCATCATCATCATCATCATCATCATCATCATACATCATCATACATCAGACATCAAAAAGTGATAAAAACACATTCTAAATCTCACCTACGAAGAACACTTCGGTTCGACTTCTTTTTGAGTTTCTTTCTACTCTTAAGGCGGCGGGCAGGTCCGGCCGGAGCTCACGAAACGTGACCCTCTGCGAGGATCGTGCGTGTCGAGTGCTCAAACGTGTGGTGAAACGTCGATCGCGTTTGACCCGGAGCGACCCTCTGCGAGGATGGTGCGGGTCGACGCGTGACTTTTGGAGGAAGTCTCGTGCGAAACGCTCGTTTTGGAGACTGGGCGGTTAACTTATGGATGAAGTCTCGTGCGAAACGCTCGGTTTGGAGATTGGCGCTTAGCTTTTGGAGGAAGTCT